TTACTAGGAAATTACGAGGAAAATGGTTACTAGGAAATTACGAGGAAAGTGGTTACTACGACTTTACGAGGAAAAAGGCTTTACGATGAACGTGTTTCGACGAAACGCGTTTCCTCGTAAGTTCCTAGTAAAAGGCCATTTACTAGGAACTAACGAGGAAAACCTGCCCTAGTAATGGACGAGTTTTCTTGTAGTGAAACATAAGAAATATATACTTATTTATATATAATTAAGTATTTAAGATACTTATTGTTCGATACCATATCAAAATAAATATGAAATTTAATATTTGAAATATATATTTATGTTTCATATAATTATATTGTATATTAGTTTGGATATTCAAATCGGTTTCTTCGGATATATTTTTGGATTTTTTGGTTTTTTTTTTTTCGATTTTTCGGGTTACCTATTCAGATTGGATTAATAACACTTCGGGTTCGGATATATTTCATACCACCTTACAAGATCCATTCGGATATTTTTTATATTTCCAACTGGGTTCAGATCAAATTTTTTGATTCGGATTCGGTTTGGATTTTGGTTATGGATATCTTTCCACTAAACATTATTATCTTTTGTTTAATGGTTTTGGCCTTTAATTCAATCAAATCATTTTTATGTACGAGCTGGGCTCGAACATCACTTGTGAATGTTTTTAATGGGCTTTTTTTAAGGAAAACAAGCCACACAAAAAAAGGATGATTTTGTTAGCCACGTGGTTAGATATAATTGGTAAAATATAAATCTACGTGGCTTAATCTCCCTTACACAAACCCTCTCTGCCTTTCTGCCCACTTGAGAGAGAGTCTTTCTGTGTTACGGTGATAAACAACCATAGATAAGGTTTTTTCTCATTTGATTCTCAAAACACCAAAAGATTCTCTCTGGATTTATTTTTTTCCCTGAGGTTGAAAAACAATCTAGTGGCAATGAAGCTATAAGGGAAAAAAAAAAACAATCCAGAGAAGATTCGAATTCATTTGATTTTTTTTGTTTTTTTGACGGCTCATGAGAGCCGAACTAATCCAAAGAAGCTGATTGCTCAGAAAAATGGTTGTTTCCATGGCTCTTCTCAGACAATCACCGTCTTTCGAACTCCTGTTTCACTGTCCTGTCCAGAGAACACGCTTTTTATCGCCGGCGGTTTTGTATGGAGTTCGCAATAATCGCTTCCCTTCTTGCAGATGGTTAAGCCTCACCTCATCAGCTTCTCGCAGGTTTGCGTTTTCAATCTTTGTTATTACTAAAGTTTTCAGACAGATATTTGAACTAGGTTTTGTCTCTTTGTTAGTTTGATTGCTGATTCAGACACAGTGTCTATTGCGTTTTTGAGATGAATGCAATTTGCTACTCATTGCAAAAACATTACTTTATTATACTCAATGATAGGTTTGTGTTACCAAGTTTCAGACATACATTCAAACTAGGTTTCAGTCTCTTTGTTAGTTTCAATGTTTTATAAAATAGCTATGCAGTGATTAGACTCCTTATAGAGAGGATTATTGTTTAGGTGGGCGCATAGAATGATTTTTTTGAAGATATTTTTAAAAAATTGTTTCGTTTAGACCCGATTTGCTGACTAGGCGGGAGCCTAGACCGATTTTTAGAACACTGATTACAATCTTTATTTCATTTTGAGATGAATTGTAAGTAACTACTACTAATTGCAAAAACTCATATGATAGGTTAAACAGGTTTAGTTCAAGGTGTTTGATTACAAACACAGATGTGTGTCACGAGTTTGTCACTAGTACTGATGACGAAGACTTACCATCTCCACCTGAGGATCATCAAATCCCAATTGTTCATCTTGATAACACCAACATCGCTGTAACCGAGTCTCTAAGCTTACTCACCGAGTGTACTTACGTAGATACCGTTCTGACAGCACTTCCTGTATGTTACATTCCCTTCATCAAGAACCAAGATCCAGCCTTTTGTACATTATTACTTAACCAAATCAATCTTTTTGGTTTCTTCAGGTTTTGTCTGAGGAAGAGCAGACTGCACTTGCAGCCACACCTGCTCACCCTGAAGGGTTATATGGTTAGAGCCCTCTCTCATTACTTTCATTAGATTAGAGACCACTTACATGGCGTGATGATGTTTTTACTTGACTTGAATTGTCAGTGTTATATGCGAGTTGTTTGGTTGGGAATATGGTTGAACAACTTTGGAATTTTGCTTGGCCGTCTGCTATTGCAATGCTCCATCCGAGCTTACTACCTGTGGCTGTCATGGGGTTTGTTACCAAGTTGGCGATAATTGTTGGGGGTCCGGTGGTTGGGAAGTTTATGGATCATAGTCCGAGAGTTCCTACTTATATCTCCTTGAATGTTGTTCAGGTAATCATTTTTCAGCATATCAGAATTTGTAATGTTCAAGAAAAGGTTAGGCAGTAACTAGACAGCTCTAGGCGTTAACAAATTATTGGTTTATTTATTATATATATTAAGTTTTTATATCTGAAACTTTAGCAATTTAAATTAATGAATTATAAAAAAAAATATTTACAAAGAAAAAGAGATTACTCAAACTTGTGGAATTTCACTAACTTTGTTGCTTAATTTAATCGATTTGACTAGTTTAGATTGTTTTAAACAGATTTAGGACAGTTAAAATCATTTAGGCCAATTTAAACTGATTTTCGCCATTAGATTTTGCGCTTATGTCCGATTTTTCGAACCTTGGGAATTTTAGACAAGTATCACAAATGACTTCTTAGTTAATTTCCTTCAACTTCTGTCATAAACATCTCTTGTATCTACTTTTCAGGCAGCCGCTCAAGTTCTGTCTGCAGGAATGATAATGCACGCTTACACGGTTCCTTCCACACTGGGGTCATCAATTCTTCTGCAGCCTTGGTTCTTTGCACTGATATTCTCAGGAGCCATTGACACACTATGTGGAATAGCTTCTGGAGTCGCCATAGAACGTGACTGGGTTGT